AAAATTGCGTGAACTTTAATTCCGAGAAAATTTATTTTTTTAAAACAAAACATTATTTATTTTAATGAGAACTTAAGGAAAGTCCAGTCCAACATTGGAAAAGTTTTAAACTATTTTAGGGTTGGTTGCGATAGTTTCAGGACAGTTCCATAGATTTCAGAAAAAGTCAGAGAACTTCAGTGAAGATCAGAACAGTTCCACTAAGTTCAATAAGATTGCAGGAACTTTACAGATGTTGCTAAAACTTCAGATCAATTTACAGATCTTAAGGGAAGTAACGAGGAACCTCACAGTAGTTCTGGAAACTTTAAGGCAATTTCATGAATATCAGGGAAATTGTGGGAATTTCATCTAAATTTGGAGAACTTAAGGACAATTCCATTACATCCAGGAAAATAGCGAGAACATTTTAAAAGATCCAAAAACTAAATATAGTCCAACGAACAAACGTTAAGTTTAGAGAAAAAATATGGAAACTTCTAAGAGGTCCGTGAAATTCTCTGAAGTATACAAAACGTCTTGATCTTTAGAGCAGATTAATATATCTTTAGGGCAGATTAATACATTTCAGGGCACTTCCAGGAACACCATCAAAAACGTTAGTTTAGGTTTTCTTTATTAGGTAGGCTTTCAGCCTGGGGTTGGTTCGCCTCAGGGGCCAATCAACAACGTAGCTAGAACTGTGGGATTGATCAGAAAACTTCAGAGTGGTCCACAATCATTATAGGAACTTTGAAAAAGTTCCGAGAAATGAAAGGCAATACCGAGGATTACAGGGAAGTTTCATGAGCAGACTGTGAAAGTTTCGAGAACATCTGTTAAATTTCAGCCACTGCAGAGAAGCTTCGAGAATTTCAAGACGGTTCCATTAACTTCAGGAAAATTGCGGGAACTTTTAAGGAGTTCTAAGATCTTTAGGGATGTCCAGAGAAGTTCGGAGAAGACAAGGAAACAGAGAATTGCAGAGAACTTGAAGAAAATCGATGAAAATTCAAAAAGGCCAGACTTTCAGGAAAATTAAATAATCTATATAGGATGATTTGGAGTAACTGTCACCGATTTCACAAGTATGTATTGATAAAATTAATATATGTTCAAGTATTTTTGTTTTAAAGTGAGTACAAATGTCCACAGAGTAGAATTAGAAATTTCATTCGTTTTCGATTTAAAGCGTGACGAGACAATGGAAGATGTTATAAATTCGTGTTATCTTTTAGAAGCTGAAATCGTTTCGAGTGAATAAAACATTTATTTTTCGCAACCTTAGAGAGGTTCAAAAGAACAATACTTGAAAAATTCGTTCAATATCAGGGATTAAACGCATCGTCAGGAATTCAGAACAGCTGGGACTAAAACGAGTGTGCCAGCTGTGAATCATTTTCGTGACAAATGTGGGTGGTAATTAAGGTAAAGGAAGAGCTATTTGAATTTAGGTATGGGTTATCCCAGCTCAAGTGTATACAAAGTTGTGGTCATTGTCACTTTGCCAAACTGCTTGTTTTGATATTCTAAGGAAAATTTTTTTTTTTTGATTTTGTTCTAAAGTGCTTGGTTCTCTCTGGGCTACAACCCTGGTTTTTCTTGAGATTTTTAGATATAATAGAGGTAATAAGGTAGAGATTACTCTGCAAACAAATAAGTTCTATGTGTTTTCGACTCACCATTTTGAAGGGTTTTAATGTGAAATCAAATAGATTAACCAAACTTTGATTTGTAAATATAAATAATAAAACGGGGTATCTTTGATAATGCGGGTAACTTTGAAAGTATAATATAAAGAATAAATTTACTCGTTGTGCTTTTTCCAAATACGAAACATTGGTTCCATATTGTAGCTTAGGGTATTTCCGTTGATATCGTAAATAGTTTTTATATAGTGCGTGTTACATATTTTACAAAAATATTAAAAAACCATTTTCGTGTTTTTCGCCCTTTTGAAAAAGCGCTCAAGCCATCACTTATGAATTGTATTTCCGCTACTCTGCAACCAAACAAATTTAATATGTTCATGACCCACCATTTTGAAGGAGTTTTCATGAAGTATTAGTATAGTATTATTTTTTGTTTTTTTGTTTATAACTACAGTAAACAGACCGATTGTTGGAAGTAATCTAATAAAAAAACAGGCCATTTTTTATATAGCTTTGATTTTGTTATTTTTTAAGATTTTGTTCTGATATTTCCTCCACATATTGGAAAACCTATCTACAAGATGTTTAGAAAAGAATGTAGTTTAAAAATACAGCATGATATATGATAAGATGAGTGAGTATAGACAATTTTGAGCATTACAGCCTGAAAATCACTATAGCTTTATATATGTTTAGTATAATTGTATTCTTATCCGGCATTCTTCACGATAATTGTAGAAAATGTAATTTAAGGTAACTTTGCAATTTATCGGCATTCAAAATTAGATGTTTTATACCATCAAATTTGTTGCTATTTTATTCAATGTGAGTGGCCTTGTATGATAATTTGAATACCCCTTCCAACAATCAGACTTTTGCTTGTAGTTAATAAATAAAAAATATATTTGATAAATCAATCAAGTTCTATAATAAAATCCCTGCAAAATGATCGACGCAAAAAAAAAAAAAAAAAAAAAGTTCTATGGCGAATGGTAATTAGTTATATTACGAAACATGAATTCACAACTGTCATAGCTTCCATAGCTTGTAATTCGCCTTGACACCAGTCCCAAAGTGACGTTTCTTCACACACATTTTGACAGTTTCTCATAGGGTTTTGCGTTGGAGTGAGAGAATAAGAAAAAGTCCACCATGTTTCACACATAGACTGACAGTTACATATAAGATTTCTCCATAGAAGTAAAGAGTTACAGAGCTCTTGTCAACGCCAATATTAGGCTTTCATAGCTTATATTAGGTAATCTTGTTATACACCTCTATTATTTTCATATGTTCGCATCATGAACGCATATGTGGATCACACTCTTATTAATTTTCCCAAGATTGAACATCGATGGCACCCAATCTTGTTGCGATACGGGCGCATGTTCATCGTAAGCCATATTGCATCTAATATTAATGTACAATAAGTGCAATAGCCTTCTTCGCTCTCAATATGGTGGAGCCAGTTAATCAATCTGATTAGGGTTGTTTACTCCCAGCAGTCTCGTGACGAGCGCAACTATATTTTCTTACATGGAATTATTATTGCAATAATGACCTCTAATGCAGAACCCGAACCTGCAACCGAGATGAGATTGAATTACCTTTGTAATTCGTTCACTTGAGATCATTACTTTCAGCGATCGCCGTAAGTAAGTAAATATGCTACTTATCATGCATGCCAACCCATCAGCAAGCGCTCTGAAAAGCTACTGATTCCCTCCTTAACCTCAATCTGGAAAGGAATTTCTTTCGATTCAATCCTGCACTCTCAACAGCAGCCCTCATTGAAACTCGACAGATACCTGCAGCAGTATTGTTGTTAATGTTTCGATTTCAACTTTCCAAGTTGCCTCTACCTACCTATATCGTAGCAGTGGCTAATTTCATGGATTTCATCCAACTGGTAGATGGCCCCGGGTTGGATTGAAGTGAAGGAGCGGTTGTCCATTCAATTCAAGTGGTGACAATTGCTCTCACTTTCCAAGCTGCTGAAGATAAACCGAACGAGAGGCGACAAAGCCTTGGCAAGACAAAAATACAAAAGCCCCAACAACGATGACAGATAATCAATCATAGCAGATTGATCTACGACTTCCTTTTCGCGGTCATGTCAACACCACCACGCGACTGGGAAGCGAACGAAGGGCGCCTGTCAGTAAAGAAGCAGAAGTATATAGAAAGGGGAGCCACATTTGATACGGTCGCGGCGGCATAGATCGGGTGGGTACAATGGCCTCTAGCTTGATAGTTTTCACCGGTTGCGCTTCTCGCTGCTGATGTAGGTAGGGTAGGTATATCCGTCGATGCAGGTCAGTACAATTCTATTCAAACATTCCAAACATTGCGCAGAGGTAAGTGCCTGGCTCAATGATGGAAATAATTGAGTTTTAATTAGGCGCTTGATCGCACGATCACACGTGTTTGGACTGTGGTATTTTCGCAACAGCTAAAACTAAATAAGGTCACGTGATTGGTGGAAATCATTGTTTTGGACTCTCGCAAGCAGAATAAGAAAAAAAAGCGGACACATATGTACAACACCAATGAGATTGAAGTACGTTCCGAAATTAATTAAATCTTTTTCGTCTTCCATTTAAAAAAGGACGTTTCATAATACCGTAACTTCGCGCATATGTCAATGGCCGTATCATAATAGTCATAATTCACATTATTGTAGAGACTACTTGGATGCTGGGACAGGACTTGACAATCGAGCTTCTCACTTTTATTAATGGTTTTGATGAATGCCCTACAAAAATTTGTGCGTGCACAGTTAAAAAAGTAGTATAACATTCTGTTACTATTGGAGCGTCATATATCATAAAAGTTTACATTATGTATCATGTAATGATGACATTTCATGAAATATTACAAAAATTGAAAGCAACCGTTCACCTTTGTTGGCAACATTTCTTGAAAGTTGCTAGTTTACGTGAAAAGGATATTTACATGCATGAATGTTTGCATGCATGGATGTTTACATCTTTAATGGTGAACACAGAATTTTTTTTTCTGTGTGGTATTTGACGGAGTTGACCATTGATGACCGGATTGCAGAATGTTTTTGTACATTTAAATTTGGATTTGATTTGGAGTTTCTACCGCAGCTTTTTTCATCACAATAAAAACGACCATAAGCTAACAACAATATACATCGCATAAAAAACGCAGGCCACTAAATTGTTCAACATTCCTTTCGCAAATGTAAACAATTTACAACGCATTTGACGTCCACATTGATCCCGGCATCACTGCCAGTCCGATTGCTGTGAACCATCTGTGCTTTTTGCTCCACGATTGCTACTGTCAAATCGACCAATCAGCACCTGGCTTGTATATGACAGCAAAATGCCTCGAAATCGCTTCCCGATTGTCAAGTCCCGTCCCAGCTCTTATGTATAACAGTTAAACAAGCTTAGTTGAACATGTCATAAACCGCAGAATCCCTTACCTGCCCAAAAGTACCGTTGAAATCAGTAAAAAAATATTGTTGTTTTCCGTAATTTATTTGCTTTCATACTTGTAAGCTCCGGATTAAATTAGTTATCTTCGATGGACTATGACAAAAGATGCCAAGTATCTGGCCCCATCTGCTGCTATAATCAAAGTGTATGGGAAAATGAGGAAAAAGTTTGAAACCCGAAAGCAAAATTTTTAGATTTTGCGTCAGTATAGTTTCGTCGTCAATATTTGTATCAATATGATTGTCAATACTTTGACTCAGTATTGACAATATTTTTGTCCATGCTATAAATCTAATCTCAAAATTTCTCTTCTCTCTCGTTTCAGGTAATTGTCTTACAGAAAAACCTTCAACGAACGATTATATACAAACATGTTGTGAGTTTAAAAACACACTGCTAGAGATCCCTCATCAAGTAAAAATAACAGTCTTGTCCAGTGAAAATATCAAAAAATCTAATCGTTCCAATGACCATGATCACGTTTTATGTTTGAAGTCAAAATCAACAAGCAAATAACTGCGGGTGATATTATTGTCAATCGGTTTACTACGCGCACACGTCACAGCATTTTTCCATAACTATCTTGAAACAATACACACGGAATCCAGTGTTCAAGTTGCCAACATAGGTTAGTCCTTCTGCTGTATTGTCAAAGATAGAAGCAAAAGTTATTCAAATGGGTCAAGTCTTGAAAACTAAGCTGTCACGCAGCTCCAGTTTGATACGAAATAAAAAAAATGTATATGATGGTCAATACTACAATACGTATGCTCATGAGCTGATTGCAAATATCACCAATGCCTAAAATCATGGTTGATTTCCGTAGACAAATCAACAAACAAGCAACTGCGGATGATATGACAAGCTGAGATACCGTAGCCATGAATATCAAGCTGACAAAACTCACCAGCTGCAGTTCTAACCAAGTTTCATGATTATGATATTGATAATGTTTGCTATAAACCCGAAAGCGACCCAAAACTTCCAGCTATATTGATAGAGATAGCAAACTATACTTTCTGATTCTATGAAACCGATGTGCAACGGAATCAATGAGATGTATACAGGTTTGGCACAAGAGGGTATTTGAAGGTATAAGTAGCAAAACAGAGGTAAACAATCGGTGATGACGAAAAACTCCTAACAAATTGACATGAAAAAAGTGGAGTTTGACATCACGGAAGGCGTACTTCACAAACACTATAACATATTTTGCACTACACGAATACCATTTTACGATCATTTCCTCACCTGTATATATCTCATTGCAACGAAATCAACCTAGTCTATACAAGGTGTGAAATTGAAGGGTTGAATGTATTTGTGCACTCGGCTTTCATTTCACTTCGTTATAATATTCTTGACAACTCTATACAGCATGCAAAAATGAGTGCGATCCACCCAGTCACTGAGTAGCCTCAAAATAGCGTGTACTTTCGTTCTCAATCTCCCTTCTAGTGACGTCGTAACGTTTGTTTTGATCAGCATTTGCATAGGAAATTTAATATGGATTATATAATGTATAATAAATTCATGAATTTTCTTCAACTTAATGTTGAGATAATTTATTAATTATTTAATTATCACGCTTTTAACCATGAAAATGCAGCCTACTGGTGAGTTTTTGCCCGTTTTCAAGTAAGGACTTATAAAAAAAAGCCAACCGATATTTTCCGCCGAGAATACAATCCAGCGCAATCATGATGCTAACATAGCTAGTTTTGTTTTACTTCATATTTCGCAAAGTTGCTTTCAAGTGTCGTCATGTGTCGTCATGTCGTCTCCTTCGTCTCCTGAAATGTTTACATTGTTGCCTCTACCACCACATACGAGAGGGCTAGATCTCCGCACCTTGTATAGACCAGGTTGCAACGGAATCATTTTTGTTTCACCAGACCTACCGATTTATTGGTAGTCCTACCTATTTTCGTGATGCCTACCGATTCACAGACGAAAGGTTTAAAACTACCGATTTTTTACTTTACCTACCGAGAATCACAGGTTTTAGAAATTTTGAAAAATGTTCAATACCTGTGTTTTGTTTTCCGTGTAGTCAGAATTATTGATTTCATCAGTTCACCATTATACCCCGTTCACATTACATCGTATATCACGTAATATACGCTGTCTTGCAATGAGCATTCATACATCTAGTTTTCACTGGAAATCCTATGTATGAGTGCTCATTGCAAGACAGCCTATATTACGTGATATAGGCTGTAATGTGAACGGGATATTAGATGTTATTTTGATAATTGGTAGTCAGAATCATTGATTCATCATTCAAGCAGAAGAACTGAAGGACAATGTATTGTTCTGGAGCAGAGTACCCCCCCCCCCCCCTCCGCTCACAAAGGTTTCAAGTATCGGGAAAGCCTTCTTAAGACGACCTACCGATAACTACCGATAAAAGTTTTGAGAAGCTACCGATAATGAAAAAATAATCTGGCCACTCTGGTTTCAAGTCAACTCTCAGCTTCAGTGTTATGTGTTGTGAACAGTCTCGAAATATCAAAGAAGCTTATAAAATCAATATCAAGCATGATATTTTATTCCAATATCACAATATCATTTTGCTAATGATTATGCCATCACTGGTCTTGTAAAATCAGGTTCTGAAATATTTACATTTAAAGAAAAAAAATCAACGCAACTGACAATCGCAGCATGCTATTATAACGGATAATCTGACGCCAAATGCTAATTTTTCTCTGAATTGGGAATAGCTTCACCATAACACTACGACCGACGGTGCACAGGCTACTAATTTCTAATGCACATGCTAGTTGTACCTCAGCAGGCCGATTTCGTATGCACCCCATGAACTTCCTCGTAACCTATAAACCTGATCAAGTGTGACCAAAGATCATTTTCAAGTACTGCTACCGTAGCAGCCTTATAGCGGTTTCATGCCTAGATTAAAAACCAGAGGAAATAGACATTTTTTCCCTCCTACCTTTCACTCACCGAAGCATTGCGTTGTAGACGATTGGTTGGCAACCCAATTGACCGATGACTTCAACGACTCCCCATCAGCGATGTTCTGGTGCTATACACGATGTGATCACTTTATTGCTGCGGCCCCTCTGCTGTCCCCAGTCGAAATAAATTGCGATCCCGGGGTGGAGTGAAATCACCAAGTGCCGCAGCAAGCAATCTCTCGGTCGGACATGCCTCTGGTTGGTTGGAAATGCATGATGATCGCGACGTCATAAAATGGGTTAAAATGAACACGATCGGGCCTATGCTGTTGCTGCTGAGCTGCTCCCTTCTTTGAGTTTCCAATGGGTTCGCCCATCAGTGAACCTGACGACTACGACAACGACAAGCGAGGAAAGACAAAAGTGTGTCACTAGTGATGTGGATTAAATTAGCGGAGCGTACATAATTACTTAAATTATGATCGGACGTCGTCGTATGACCATCGTCCGGGAACAAAGGGGGAAATCAAACAAGGCCCGTAAAGTACATGGAGATATTCATGCCAAATTTGTTGATTCGTAAAACGATGTCCACAGGCTAAGATTGTAATATTAAGCAGATTTTGGCCACGTAAACATAATACTTATGGCTGGATGTACGATGATGTGCTGATTTACTGCAAACGCTTTTTTTTAATTTATTTGCAACGTTTTCATGTAAATTTATGCATTATTTAAAACATATGTTGTTGAAACTTCAATATTACATGCAAGCATTACAACCAATTAATTCATAATCATTCCTTATTTTTGTATAGGTTTTGTACATAGCAACTATTTAAATTTGGTTAGCATACTAGAAAAAACTACTTTTTATACAGATCATATAAGATTCTGTTCATTATAGGTGGGGAAGGGGTAAAAGTGCCTTTCCCCTAAGTTGGCATCGAAACGTTTTTACCAGCAATAGTTGGAGTTTACTGGGTGTCTGATCACTAATAGAATATATTTTTCGGTGTAACAACGGTCACTGGTTTTGACCTGTTCAGCGTGCGAAAGAATTTAGAAAAGCTTCGTTTATTTGCATTATTAGACAAACCCCAATTAATCATGACTGTAGCTAGCTTGCAATACTCGTGTCACTTTTCAAATAGACCAATCTACATTGATCGACTCTCTCTTTCGTAAATAATTAGGCTACAAAAACGTTTCCTGTCGTCTTTGTCGTATTAGATCAGTCCAGTGGCAGGCGCGTAGGCAACATGTTATACCATGACAGCGGGCTCAGCACAGCAAAATGAATGTTTTGAGCCCGGGACATCCTGCCTACTGTCAAACGCTGCTGTTGGTATAGGCCTTGTCACTGGCCTGTATTAGATGCTAGATTGTTGCTTCTTCCATCGAACTGTGTGTCGAAAATATTCGGAAATATCCGTGGCGATGCAAAGAGAAAGTCGATGAAGAGAATCGACCAATGTATATAGGACCTATTGAAAAGTGTCGCGAGAACTGCTCATTACAGCTAAAATGTTATTATTCTGAATTATGAAACTATGAGATATTATAAAGATATTTGTGTATTTATAAGATGCACTTACTCATCGCGATTGCTCATTACAGCTAAAATCGCTAATTGTGACCAACTGAAAGCAAAATTGACAGGTTGTATGTGTCATACACAAACTTTACCTCCCCTTCTTGCATCTTACATATCACAATTATTATTATAGTATCTCATAGTTTCATAATATAGCCGGCGCCGGTGGTGTAGTGGTAAGCGTGACTGCTTTCTAACACCCCGATGGGTCTGGGTTCAATCCCAGCCGAGGTCGGTGGGATTTTTCTGAGGCATAAAAATCTCTGGTCACGTCTTCCTTCGGAAGGGAAGTAAAGCCGTTGGTCCCGGCCCATATGTGTTGAATGGGTGCGATATCCTACGAAGCTGCCTTCCTGCACATTCGATTGCCGTCAATGGATGGCAAT